CCCTTAGAGCTGTTTTTGATAAGCAAAGTTTTACATTTTGATGTAGTCATATTTGTCATTTTTTCTTTTATAATTATTGCTTTCTGAGTCCTAAGTAAGAAATCTTGGTTACCTCCAGGTTGTGAAGGTATACTTATGTATTTTCTTGTAAGAATTTTATAGTTTTAGCTTTTATGTTTAGGCCTATGATCCATCTCTAGTTTTTGTGAATGGTGTGAAAATTATTTTGTGAAGAATATTAAATGTTCTTCCCATACAGATATCCAGTTGTTCCAGTATCATTTGTTGAAAATGCCGTTGTACTGCATTGGTACCTTTGTTGAAATTCAGATGACTGTATACATGGCAGTTGATTTCTGGACTCTTCTGTTCCATTGGTCACTCCTTATGTCAGTACCACCCTGTTTTAATTATAGTAGATCTTTTTTAAAAAAACAAATAAATAAATACATTTATTCATTTATTTATTTATTTTTGTCTGCGTTGGGTCTTCGTTGCTGTGTGCGGGCTTTCTCCAATTGTGGTGAGTGGGGGCTACTCTTTGTTGCGGTGCACAGGGTTCTCATTGTGGTGGCTTTTCTTGTTGCGGAGCGTGGGCTCTAGGTTCGGGGGCTTCAGTAGTTGTGGCTTGGGGGCTCTAGAGCACAGCCTCAGTAGTTATGGTGCATGGGCTTAGTTGCTCCGAGGCATGTAGGATCTTCCCGCCAGGGCTCGAACCCGTGTCCCCTGCATTGGCAGGTGGATTCTTAACCACTGCGCCACCAGGGAAGCCCTATAGTAAGTCTTGAAGTTGTGCAGTGTAGGTCAACAACTTTGTTGTTTTTCAAGTTTGATTTCGTTAGTTTAGGTCCTTTGCATTTTCCACATAAATGTTAGAATCATCATCTTACAAGTTACTAAAAAAAGTCTCGTGGGATTATGATTGCAATGGCATTGAATCTTTAGATCAATTTGGGAAGAATTTACATATTAACAGTATAGAGTCTTCAAATGTATGAACGTGGTGCATTTCCTGTTTAATTTAGGTCTTTAATTTCTTCTGGTACTATTTTATAGTTTGAAGAGGTCTTATGCATTGTTCATTAAAAGTACTCCTAAGTATGTTTTTTTTTTTTTTTTTTTTTGGTTCGGGGGCGCCTCTCTTCTTTTGGCCTCTCCCGTTGCGGAGCACAGGCTCCGGACGCGCAGTCTCAGCGGCCATGGCTCACGGGCCCAGCCGTTCTGCGGCATGTGGGATCTTCCCGGACCGGGGCACGAACCCGTGTCCCCTGCATTGGCAGGCAGACTCTCAACCACTGCGCCACCAGGGAAGCCCCTAAGTATGCTTTTATAACTCACAGTGGAGCCATCGTTCACAGTGTTACTCTGTAGACAGTGTGCCATTTTTTTCTGACTGCTTTTAAGGTTTTCTCTTTATTTTTGGTTTTTAGCATTTTGCCTATGGTGTATCTAAGTGTGATTTCCTTTGTGTTTATCCTGCTTTGAGATTTGCAGATCTTCCTAAATCTATAAACTTATGCCTTTCACCCAATTTGGGAAAATTTGAGCCATTATTTTTTAAAAAATTTTTATCCCTGTTCTCTTTAACCTTTTCGTTTGGGACTTTGATTATATGTGTTAGCCATTTTGATGTTTTCCCCCAGGACCCTGAGGCTCCTTTGTTATTTTCAATCTTTTTTTTTCTCTTCTTCTTCAGATTATTTAATTTCTTTTGAAGTATCTTTTTTTTTTTAACATCTTTATTGGGGTATAATTGCTTTACAATGGTGTGTTAGTTTCTGCTTTATAGCAAAGTGAATCAGTTATACATATACATATGTTCCCATATCTCTTCCCTCTTGCGTCTCCCTCCCTCCCACCCTCCCTATCCCACCCCTCCAGGCGGTCACAAAGCACCGAATATCCGGCTGCTTCCCACTAGCTATCTACCTTATGTTTGTTAGTGTATATATGTCCATGCCTCTCTCTCGCCCTGTCACAGCTCACCCTTCCCCATCCCCATATCCTCAAGTCTGTTCTCCAGTAGGTCTGTGTCTTTATTCCTGTCTTACCCCTAGGTTCTGCATGACATTTTTTTTTCTTAAATTCCATATATACGTGTTAGCATACGGTATTTGTCTTTTTCTTTCTGACTTACTTCATTCTGTATGACAGACTCTAGGTCTATCCACCTCATTACAAATAGCTCAATTTCGTTTCTTTTTTATGGCTGAGTAATATTCCATTGTATATATGTGCCACATCTTCTTTATGCATTCATCCGATGATGGGCACTTACGTTGTTTCCATCTCCGGGCTATTGTAAATAGAGCTGCAATGAACATTTTGGTACATGACTCTTTTTGAATTTTGGTTTTCTCAGGGTATATGCCCAGTAGTGGGATTGCTGGGTCATATGGTAGTTCTATTTGTAGTTTTTTAAGGAACCTCCATACTGTTCTCCATAGTGGCTGTACCAATTCACATTCCCACCAGCAGTGCAAGAGTGTTCCCTTTTCTCCACACCCTCACCAGCATTTGTTGTTTCCAGATTTTTTGATGATGGCCATTCTGACTGGTGTGAGATGATATCTCATTGTAGTTTTGATTTGCATTTCTCTAATAATTAATGATGTTGAACATTCTTTCATGTGTTTGCTGGCAGTCTGTATATCTTCTTTGGAGAAATGTCTATTTAGGTCTTCTGCCCATTTTTGGATTGGGTTTTTGTTTTTTTGTTATTGAGCTGCATGAGCTGCTTGTAAATTTTGGAGATTAATCCTTTGCCAGTTGCTTCATTTGCAAATATTTTCTCCCATTCTGAGGGTTGTCTTTTGGTCTTGTTTATGGTTTCCTTTGCTGTGCAAAAGCTTTGAAGTTTCATTAGGTCCCATTTGTTTATTTTTGTTTTTATTTCCATTTCTCTAGGAGGTGGGTCAAAAAGGAGCTTGCTGTGATTTATGTCATACAGTGTTCTGCCTATGTTTTCCTCTAAGAGTTTGATAGTTTCTGGCCTTACATTTAGGTCTTTAATACATTTTGAGCTTATTTTTGTGTGTGGTGTTAGGGTCTTTTGAAGTATCTTAAGTTCACTATTGAACTATCTTAAGTTCTTTTTTATATCTAATTTTGCATTTTGTGAACAGGATTGACAGTTTGGGGTGATTTACAAGATTCCTACTTCGAGTATTTCCTATTCTTTTAGCAATTTTATTATTTATTTATTTTTTGGCTGCGTTGGGTTTTCATTGCTGGGCCCTGGCTTTCTCTCTAGTGGTGGCAAGCAGGGGCTACTCTTCGTTGCGGTGCGTGGACTTCTCTTTGCGGTGGCTTCTCTTTTTGTGGAGCACGGACTCTAGGCGCTTGGGCTTCAGTAGTTACAGCTCGCGGGCTCTAGAGCGCAGACTCAGTAGTCGTGGTGCACGGGCTTAGTTGCTCCGCGGCATGTGTGATCTTCCCGGACCAGAGATCGAACCCATGTCCCCTGCATTGGCAGGCGGATTCTTAACCACTGAGCCACCAGGGAAGTCCCCTTATTCTTTTGTAAGTGTAGTGAGTATGTTTCTTTATTAGAAGGCATTTGGGGGGAGATGGTTATATATCCTTTGACTTTTAAATGTTCTCTTGTCTTATAGGATCCTAAATTTCCCCCTTTTTGCCCTTCACAGGACAGTCTCAAAGGGCATCCGTCATTCCTTTTTCCTTCTTCTCAGAAGCCCTGCCTTGCCAGTTCTGCCTCACCGAGTTGTACATACACTTGTCTCTTTCTCCATAGGCTGCACTCATCTCCCAGAATGTTTCGTCGGTATCTTCATACTTAGTGTGGGTCTTCATTTTCCGGGAGTGATTTTAGTTCTATCTTGGGCTCTCCATCCTCCTCTTCTCCCTTCTATGCATTTCTCTTCCCATCTGGGTCCCACCTTGCTCTCCTCAAAAAGTCGAGATGAGAGTTCAAGAACTATCTCCACCAGAAATTGATGTATATATTTCTTTACTTCTAGGCAGTTTGAAACTTCCACTTTCAGTCTTCTCATTATGTTAGGAGGTGCAGGATGTTTGTGGTTTTATCTGTTCCTTCTGTTGGCGCGTATAGTTTCTGGCAGATGTATTGGGATATGTAGATTTGTGGAGCTGCCGTAACTTTGGCTATCAGGAAGTCTTTCCTAACATTTTTTTTTTTCTTTCCTAACATTTTATTTTGAAAAATTTGAAGCCTCTAGGAAAGTTATACAATGAATGTCTGCATATCCTTCACCTAGATTCATAGGTTTGTTACTTTATCTCTTTCTCTCCCTGTCTTTACACATGCACACATTTTATTAGTTGAATGATTTGAGAGTAAGTTGCAGAAAACATGACAGTTTATTCTAATACTTTATCATGTATCTCCTAGTAACAAGTTCATTCTCCTATATGACCATGATAGAGTTATCACACTCAGTATCTGTAACAGTGATACAGAACCATTGTCCAAAATGCAGTTCATCGTCAGATTTCCCCCATTGCCTTAGTCATATCCTTTACAGATTTTATTTTTTCTGATCTAAAATCCTGTAAAGGGTCACACAGTGTGTTGTCCTGTCTCTTTAGTCTCCTTGAATCTAGAAGAGTTCACTGTCCTTTTTGTTTTGCTTTGTTTTGTTTTTTGAGGCACTGATATTTTTGAAGAGTTCAGGCCTGGTAGATTTCAACTTGTCTGATGATTTCCTTATGATTAGAGTCATGATTAGATTGGTAGAGATGTTGGTGATATTATTATGTTTGACTGCTTGGTTAAGGTGGCTGCCAGATTTCTCCATTGTGACGGTGTCTTTTGCCCCCCTCCATTTTTTCTCCAAGTGCAAGTAGATTATTTGGGGACTGACCTCAGGACATACAGGGAGAACAGAGAGGCAGTGAGAAGGGACAGAAAAGGCAGTCAACAAAGGGTGCAACCCAAGCTGATTCCACCAGGAGCCTGGAGCCAGCGCAGAACTCACGGCTTAGTTTATTCTCTGGGATAAGCTTATCTTAGCTTATCCCACAGAAGGGGTGAGAAATCTAGGGTCTTTAAACTTTAGCCAGCTCCTGTCAGTCACTGAGGGCTGCTCCCAGGGGCATCCGTTCTCTGGTACTTGCGGCTTACCCTGAACAGGTGCAGAATGGGCCCCATGCCAAGCAAGCCCCCAGGTAGAGATGCAGGTGTTGGCGTGTGGAAGTTAGGCTGGGCGTGTGCTGTTGCGGTGAGAGCTGATGAGATAGTTAGCACAGCACCCCTAGTGTCTGCTAGGCCTGGGGACCCTGGGACCTAGAGCTTGAGGCAAAAGCTTATGTGGTATTATTTTTTTAGGAAGTGCAATTCCAGGAAGCAGAAGTGAAGGAAAAGGGGATTGAGGAGAGATGGAGACGAAGTCAGTTCAAGCGTGCATTTCCAGGCTGGCCACCCCTTGGTAACAAGGACAGCTGATTGCTTGGTTTCCTTAAGCTGTCTCCCTGGAGGAGGTATAAGGTGCCACACCCCAGGACAGCCACCTAAATGAGGAGAGGAGAGGATCTACTCCTCAGCGCCTTTGTCTCCCTGGTGAAAGGTCTGCCCCGTGGTACGTCAGCTCCACCAGATGTGCAGATGGTGCACGTGTGGGCATCAGGTGGGTCCCACGGGTTCTCACACCTCAAATGCGGGAGCGAGGCCAAGGGTGGGAGGTAAGAGGCATCCCTGGGAGCAGGAAGTAGGGGCCGTGTGCTGCTGGTCGGGACCCTCGCGTATGTGGTCCTCCTGATGGCAGCCAGGGTGGAGACAGTGGTCTGAGGCCTCAGAGACAGGCAGGGCCAAGACTTGAGGTCCTGCGTAAGATATGCCTGATACATTGGGAATCTATTTTGGTTTAACAGGTACGCGTGTACATACACATAAAACACACATACACAAGCACAGTCATATATGAAGAAGATAACAGCTATCTGTTGCTGGTGGGAATCCAGCCACATTTTACTTCTTCCCATATTTTTGATATGTTTAAAGCTTTCTACAATAAAGACATTTTAATTTTATAACAGGAAAATGGTTTGTGGACAGTTTTAGAAAGGGAGGCGGAACAGTAAGCGTTTTTTCCAAAGTTAAAACTGGCAAAAAGAATAATTCCAGGGCTTCCCTGGTGGTGCAGTGGTTAAGAATGCACCTGCCAATGCAGGGGACATGGGTTCAAGCCCTGGTCCAGGAAGATCCCACATGCCATGGAGCGACTAAGCCCATGCGCCACAACTACTGAGCCTGCGCTCTAGAGCCTGCGAGTCACAACTACTGAAACCTGCGTGCCTAGAGCCCGTGCTCCACAACAAGAGAAGCCACCGCAATGAGAAGCCCGCGCACCGCAACGAAGAGTAGCCCCCGCTCGCTGCAGCTAGAGAAAAGCTCTCGTGCAGCAACAAAGACCCAACGTGGCCAAAAATAAATAAATAAATATTTTTTAAAAAATAATTTCATGTTTTAGTCTATAGACAGAGACTAGTTGTCCTTTTTTCAATATATTGAATCTTATAAGATTGTTTAGAAAAGTAGAAACAAATTGCTTTTTAAATGTGAGAAGTGTAACTGCTGCCTTATAAAATTAGTTTCTAGAATTAAAAAATATACTTTGTCTATATATCCTGCATTATGTATTTGTTTCATTCACTGGTGTATCCGTTTATTTAATATTCAGACACTTCCCTTCCTGACCACCTACTATGAGCAAGGTACTATGCTAGGCCCTGGGGGTGCCACAGAGAGTCAGGAAGAACCCCCCACCTTCTAGGGGTTCTTACTGGAGTGGGGAGAAATGGATGTGGTAGAGACAGTACTCACCAAATATTTAAATGCCTTCTTACATTTCCCAGCCTCTGGGGCCATGTGACTAGTTCTGTCTAGGGAACTGTGCCCAGAGGGATGCATGTCACAGCTAAGGCAGCTATGAGCTGGTATGACTGCTCCAGCTCTGCCTACCCCTGCAGTGCTGACTTCAGGAGTCACACATGCCAGACGGCATGGCTATAGGATGGACAGGGCCGCCAGACTGTATTAAATCTTTCATGAGTGAGATAGAAATCTTTTCTGTGTTAAGCTATTCCCCTCCTTTTTAAAAATTGTGGTAAAATGTACATAATGTAAAATTTATCATTTTAACCATTTTTAAGCATGCAGTTCAGTGGCATTAGTACATTTGCAGTGTATACCCTTGTTTTTAACAGATAACCAGATAGGCTCTCATTTGACTTTGTGAACATCCTGTTCACCTACAACTTTTTAGTATCCCACTCCGTGACCTGTGGGCCAAATCTGCCACCTCTTTTTGTAATAAAGTTTTTGTTTGTTTCTTAGTTTTTATTTTTTTAATTTATTTTTGGCCATGCCATGTGGCATGCAGGATCTTAGTTCCCTGACCAGGGATTGAACCCATGTCCCCTGTAGTGGAAGCACCGGGTCTTAACCACTGGACCATCAGGGAAGTCCCTAAATTTTTATTTTATATTGGAGTATAGTTGATGAACAATGTTGTGTTAGTTTCAGGTGTACAGCAGAGTGATTCAGTTATACATGTATTTATTCTTTTTCAATTTCTTTTCCCATTTAGGTTATTACTGAATATTGGGCAGTGTTCCCTGTGCTATACTTTAGGTCGTTGTTGGTTATCCATTTTAAGTATAGCCGTGTGTATATGTCAGTCCCAAACTCCCAATCTATCCCTCCCCGCCAGCCTTCCTCCCTGGTAACCAGAAGTTTGTTTTCTAAGTCTGTGAGTCTCTTTCTGTTTTGTAAATAAGTTCATTTGTGTAATAAAGTTTTATTGGGACACAACCACGCCCATTCATTTATGTATTGTCTATGACTACTTTCACGCTAAAATGCCAAAGTGAAGTAGTGACAGAGACCATATAACCTGCAACACCTAACATATTTACTCTCTGGCCCTTTATGGAAAAAGTTTGCTGACCCCTGCTTTATGGAACAGGTATTTAAGTTTTTATTTTTATTGAAATAATACATGCACATATTTGAAAAGGAAATAGCACTAGAAGTTTTATTTTTAAAAAGGCGAGCCCTGCTGCACTGGTCTTCACACCAGCGCCACTCCTAAGAGATGCTTCTTCCTCTTACTAGTCTGTTCTGGCATGTATAGCTCTAAGTAACACCCTCATCCCACTACTTCTTGATGTAACAACTTTAGACACTAACTATTGACTAACCTAGCACAGGCCACTATCCTACTTTTTAGTGCAAGATTATAAATAAATTTACCATTTCTTAACTGAAAGGTAATGTTTTATGATCGTTTAGTTTTCTGCATTTTCATCATAATGTATGTAAGAAAATTAACAAGAACTTAGCAATAACTAACATTTATTTAGTATTTCACATGTGCCAGGCACTCTTCTGATGTAGTTTTTTTTTAAGTTGAAGTATAGTTGATTTACAATGTTGTGTTAATTACTGCTGTACAGCAAGGTGATTCAGTTTTATATATATACACACACACATACATTCTTTTTTTAATATTCTTTTCCATTATGGTTTATCATAGGATATTGAATGTAGTTCTCTGCTGTACAGTAGGCCCTTGTTGTTGATCCGTTCTATATATAAAAGCCTACATCTGCTCACCCGAACCTCCCACTCCATCCCTCCCCCAAGCTTCTCCCCCTTGGCAACCACCCGTCTGTTCTCTATGTCTGTGTTTCTGTTTCTGTTTTGTAGATAGGTTCATTTGTGTCATATTTTAGATTCTACAGATAAGTGATACCATATGATATTTATTTTTCTCTTTCTGACTTAATTTCATTTAGTATGATAATCTCTAGTTGCATTAATGCAGTTTTTATGCAGTTTCTCATTTAATCTTTACAGAACCCCTAGGAAATGTAGATACTATTGTTATCTCCATTTTCTAGATGATGAAACGTCATTTAGAGAGATTATGTGATTTTTCTCTTGGTCAAGACCTCGTGGGTGATGGAGCCAGAAATCACCACTTGGAATGTCAGCTCTTAAACACCATCTTGGAACACTGCGTGGGGAATCATACTGGTTGACGTTCATAGATTTGTGGTCCTACTGTGAGTGAACAATCTGAAGATTTATAGCATGCAGATGTGCTGAGGCCCAACTTTGTTGGATCTGCAGCGGGTGGGGCACTCAGGTAGCGGGTCAGCCATCTGCAGCTGCTTTTTCTGAGGGTAATTCTCTTTTCTAATAGACTGCACACTTGCGTGGTCTCAGTCTAATGCAGTGGCTCCCAAACTGGAGCTTGTGTCAGAATCACGGGGTGGGCTTGGTCCAGCACTCATACATGGGCCTCACCTCTGGTTTTGGATTCAGTGGGTCTGAGGTGGGGCCTGAGAATATGCATTTGTAACAAGGTCCCAGGCGATAAACTGCAGGGACTACTAGTGGTTTAATGCTGTGCCCTTTCTGAACACAGGGTCTTCTGTGCCATCTGGCTCTTCCATTGCGTCATGTCTGTTACACTCCCCCCTGCTGGCGTGTTGGCTCCGCGACAGCAGTTCAGCTACCGTGGCCTATGTTTCCTCTTCAGCCGCACAGAGGTCAGGGTCATGATGCCCATATAGCAGGTGGTCATAATCTCCCCTAGCACGCTTTTGTAATTCTGACTTTTTCAATTACGAACATTGTAATTATAACATACAATACATTCTTATTGTAAAAATCACCTTTAATAGCACCACCACGCTAGCAAAATTTTAGCAGAAAGGTAGAAGCAGACCCTAAAGGATTTTAAGTGGTTTGTTAGGTGATAGCTAAGCACTGAGGAACTTGGCCCTTGACTGGGTCAGTGTTTAAAGTATGCAAGGAAAGTTACTTCATCTGATTTTTAGTAGAGGCTCTTGCCTTTTACCACTAGCGTTCTTTGAGATCATTTTTTTAATCTTCTTTTTATTTAGAGGTCAACCTGAATCAACATGTCTGGGACTGAAGAAGCAATTCTTAGCGGCCGTGACAGCCATCCTGCTGGTGGCAACTCTGTATTATGCTTTGGTCAGGTACGTGTGTTTTTTTCATACCTGGAAGGAATGAGGTTAAGTGAAAAAGGTATGGGGAAGCCATTGGTAGAGCACCATCATATACATGTAAACTGTTTTTTTTTTCATTTAAGTGCATCATTTGGGAGTCTTTGACAAGCTCTGAGGGCATTTTCGAAATTTAGCAGCACTGGGGGTTACATTTAGATTTAAATTTTATTTACTTTTTGGATAGATTACATTTTCATATGCTGTAACATTCAAAATGAAACAGACTGTATGTAAAAAGTCTCACTGTTTCCTATCACTCTTGTCCACATGTCACCCAGATCTCTTTTTTGGAGGCATCCAAAGTTTCTGGTGTTGTACTCTCTGTGGAGATATTCTGTGCATATAAGGGAGATTCTTGCTTTGTCCCCCCAAATTCTATCTTTGTCTTACCAGAAATCTATTTGTGTGTATTTATTCAGGGCAAGGGGAAAAGTATTGAGGGGATGAAAATCTAAACAAGTAGGAGTGTATTTCTCTATGTGTAGGATGGGAAATTGTTGAACTAGAGAAGAGGACAAATGGAAGCAGGGCTTCCTGTCATGTTTTCTCCTCTCCTGCTCCCTTGCCTACATACATGTCATATAGACTCGAAGGAGGGAAGTTTCAGTTTCCCAGTTCTGGCTCGAGAAAGTTTTGTAGGGATGGTAACATATTAGTAACATCTAAGGCAGTGGTTTTCAAAATGTGGTCCAGTGACCCCTGGGGGTCCACAAGACCTTTCAGAGTCTGTGAAATCAAAATTATTTTCATAATAATGCTAAAATACTCTGTGCCTTTTTCACTCTCATTCTTTCATGAGTTGAGGGTGTTTTCCAGAGACCATATAGCATGTGCTGATATCATTGCTCTGATGGTTACTGGAATGTGTGCCTGCAGAGTTTCTCATTTTTAATTCCTAGTATTGATAGATATAACCCACATAAACAAAAGCTCATAGGATCCTCAGTACTTTTGAAGAGTGTTAAGGGGTCTGGAGACCAAAAAGTTGGGGACTTGCTGATAAGGAATGGTGGAAATGTCAGTTTAATTTTCCCTTTGTGGATTACAGTACCAATACACAGCAGAAGAGTACCAGGCCATCCAGAATGCTCTGAGGCAGAGGCTGGGCCCAGAATACATAAGTAGCCGCATGGCTGGAGGAGGCCAGAAGGTGAGAGAGTTTACGTGCTTGAAAAGTGGGTGCCCACAACGCCGACTATTCCCATGAACTTGCCAACTCCCTCTCTTTTCCTCATGGATTCAGAAGGTCTCTCATTCACTGTTAGTGGACGTTTGTGTCTTTGGGCGGGGATGGGTTCCAGCCTTCACTGTCATCTGCAGTGGCCCAAGCATGGCCTGGCCCAAGACACTAGTTCTAACTGGCTCCTCTGGAAGATCTTTGAATTAAGTTCACTGAGAAATTCTCTGGAATGTTTAAGGGTGGTTTTGCCAAAAGAGCTGGTAAGGAATAAATTTTTTTTTTTTTTTTTTTTTTGCGGTACGTGGGCCTCTCACTGCTGTGGCCTCTCCCGTTGCGGAGCACAGGCTCCGGACGCGCAGGCTCAGTGGCCATGGCTCATGGGCCCAGCCGCTCCGCGGCACGTGGGATCTTCCCGGACCGCGGCACAAACCCGCGTCCCCTGCATCGGCAGGCGGACTCTCAACCACTGCGCCACCAGGGAAGCCCAGATTAAGTAAATTTTGATCCACATTTAAGTATGGCAAGGAATTTTAACAAGCTTTTTTTTCTTCTTTAAATTTTTTTTCCAGGTGTGTTACATCGAGGGTCACAGGGTAATTAATCTGGCCAATGAGATGTTTGGCTACAATGGCTGGGCACACTCTATCACACAGCAGAACGTGGGTGAGTATGCTTCCTGGCAGTGCCTGCTTCTTCGTTTCCCTTCCTCGGCATTGGCTGACTTCTGGCAGGAGTGTTTTGTAGGCAAGGACCTAGGGAAGGCGTGCTCAGTCGCCAGCAGGAGGAATACAGGTGAGGCACAGCGATCAGTATCCTCTTCAGCTGGTTCTCTTTCCCACTCCTAGATTTTGTTGACCTTAACAATGGCAAGTTCTACGTGGGCGTCTGTGCGTTTGTGAGAGTCCAGCTGAAGGTGAGGGTGATGGAGGGGACATGCTGCCTGCAGGCACGGGGCAGGTGGGAGAGTGAGCAGGTACGGAGGCCTCGGGGCCCAGAGAGGGGGTGGGGTTGTTCAGACATCCTCCCTCATGTGCCCCTAAGAGAATTTTGAGGAACTCTGTTCTCTTGCACGTTTTTAAGTTGACTCAGTTTTCACCATATATGTAAACAGTTGTAAGGGTGTATTTTTTGGCATATTGTAAAATTTTACATTCTAAAATAAATCTGTTACATCTTTTTAACACGTACCAATGTATTCTAAATACCATAGAGGATTAAATGCTGTCATCCATTTAAAAAAAATACATGCGCAAGCTATTTTTCTTTTTCTTTCTTTCTTTAAAATATTTATTTATTTATTTGGTTGCACTGGGTCTTAGTTGTGGTGTGCAGGGTCTTTAGCTGTGGCATGCAGGATCTAGTTCCCCAACCAGGGACTGAACTTGGGCCCCCTGCATTGGGAGCATGGAGCCTTAACCACTGGACCACCAGGGAAGTCCCTGTTTTTCTTTTTTTTGAGCAAGTTATTCTTCGGTCATCAGATATCTTACGTTGTTTCTTCTTGAACACGTATTTCCATTCCATTTCCCCTCTGGCTTTTATCCTGCTGTATGATTGAAAATCTTTTATTAATGATAACCTTATTATACTTGTGTGTGTAAAAATTTTAGGGGATAAATTTCCAGTGATCTTAAGGCTCTAACTATTGAGAAATTTCTTCTGGATTGAGTTACTATTGATATTACAGGTGCTGTTAATACACAATTTAGTCAGTTGTGTTTATGTTGAAGAGACAACATAACTACATCAAAATATTTATATTTAATAAAATTTTATGGAAAATGCATTTCTTGATAAGATGGATGAGCTGTTTTTTTCTATTCAGTTAGTTTGTATATCCACAGTTAATATTACTTATTCCTAGACTAAACATTTAGCATTAATTCTATTCTGACTTATTTTTATAAATACTACCGAAAACCTTATTCACATAAACAAACTGAGAATGAACGAGTTTCGTTACAGTGTCATTCATTTCTTTGACTACTTGTGAGTTATATATCAGAAATCACAATGCTATCATCAAACATTATAGTCAGCTCTCTGTCAGCTAACAGCTTGATCAGGCCCACCTTTACTTTTGGTAGAAGCCGAGAAACAGGTACCACCTGACTTGTGAGAGGATTTGCTATCCAGTCATTAGAATCTGCTAAATATAATATTTCAAATTTTTGGTTTGGTGCCCCAGAGGTTTTCATAGTGTGGGTGATGTGTCTTAGTAAGATGTGGGGCGGGTCAGGTGTGTGCCTAGTCATGTGAAGAGGAAGGAGAATTGTCTTGCACCTGGAGCACAGGCACATCTCTAGGCAGATCCGGTCCAGGAAGTAGCCCTGGAAATGGACTCTGGCAACTCCGCCTGTGTTCCAGGCCCTGGGCTCTGTCCAACCAGTCTGAACACTGATGCTTGAGGAAGAGGAGAGCTCTGCAGCCAGGGACGGGGCTGCAGCTCCTCACGTTGGACCCTGAACTCCTTTTCTGTCCACAGGATGGTTCGTATCACGAGGACGTGGGCTATGGTGTTAGCGAGGGCCTCAAGTCCAAAGCCTTGTCTTTGGAGAAGGCGAGGAAGGAGGCAGTGACCGATGGGCTGAAGCGAGCACTGAGGTAGGCAGATCCTGTTCTTCTCAGCTCTGGGTTATAACACCCACGTGGTTCAGAAGTCGAAATAACATAAGTCTTCCTCCCACCCTTGACCCTGTGCAGCCTGTTTTCCTGCTCTCTTCTGTCTTTCCCCAGTGCTGCTTTATGCTGAGGGCCCACTTTTTGGGGAATAAGTAGTAGAATCCTGTGTTCTCTGTTCTGTACTTGACCTTGCCTTCCCCACCCCTCTCATCAGCAGTGTGTCTTGGAGACCTGTCCACACAGCACATACATTGTTTTCTCATTCTCTTTAATACACCTACACAGTTCTTCATTATGTATATGTAACATAGTTAACTTAGTTTCATAGAGCAGGGTTTTTAACCTTTTTTGGGGTCATAGATGCCTTTGAGAATTGAATTACCAGAAAAATACATGTAAAACATGCACTAAAGATTTGCAATACCATGACCTGTGGGGGAATCCAGATGTCCCAAGTAAAGAACTTTGGTCATGGAGGTCTTGCCCCTAAAGTGCGCATGCTCACCATTACTGGGGAGTTGGAGCAGTCCTTGGGAAACATTCTCTGCTGTGGAATTCGTGTTCTGCATTGGGAGGTATAGCTGGTGCGATTTTGTGAGCGCTTGCTCAGGCTTTCTGTGCCCACTGCCCCTCCTGCGGGTGGGTTTGTGGCTGCTGTGCTCACTGCTGTATTCTCAGCGCCTAATGCAGATGCGTAATGAACATTTCTGAATGCTTATCAGAGTCCATCTCCTCTGCTGTGTTGAGAAGCAGCTTGTACAAAGGCTGTAGCTCTGTTCTCTGATATTCACATATAACGTTCTCAACCCCGTTCCCCTCTTTTCTTACCCGTAGAAGTTTCGGGAATGCACTTGGGAATTGTATTCTGGACAAAGACTACCTGAGGTCGCTAAACAAGCTCCCACACCAGGTATGTTACAAGTGGGGGGTGGAATGCGTCGCAGTAAAGGTGCAACTGATGATGCTTTTGTGTCATGAGTGAGTATTTGGTGATGGAGAGAGAAAAAGTGAAGACTTGGCTATTTAAAGGGTCTGGAATGTATTTCAGACGTCTTTGAACATAAGAGCCAGCAGGAACCAATTACCTTAATGTACCAATGAGGAAATTGAAGCCTGGAGCATTTGTGTTACTTGTCTCTTATGTAGAGAGAACCGTGCTTGGCAGTGGTCTGTGAGACAGAAGGAGCACAGATCCCTTGCAGCACTGCCATTTCTTACAAACACTCAGAGCCTCACGCGTTCAACCTTCCTGCTCTTCCTTAGCTCGGGTGTCTTTAAGGTTTAAATCTCCCTTGTTTCTGTAGTTGCGTGTCATGTGATCTGCGCGTTTGCCTTCGGAGAATGGGGTCTGGAGTTTAGCATGCCTGGGCCAGTCAGGCTCTGGAGCATTCCTGTTGCCTGGTGGAGTGTGGCTGCTTCACCTGTGGTTCTTTGGGTCCCTGCAGTGCCGCCACCCTGGGCAGCCTTCCCTCTCTGGTACTTGAGGGGTTCTTTTTCTTGTGCTGCCCGTAATAGAGGTGTGTGTCAATTGGCAGCTGTCAAAACTCCATTTCTTGGGGCTTCCCTGGTGGTGCAGTGGTTGAGAGTCTGCCTGCCGATACAGGGGACACAGGTTTGTGCCCCGGTCCGGGAAGATCCCACATGCCGCAGAGCGGCTGGGCCCGTGAGCCATGGCCGCTGAGCTTGCGCGTCCGGAGCCTGTGCTCCGCAACGCGAGAGGCCACAACAGTGAGAAGCCCGCGTCCTGCAAAAAAACAAAAAAAACAAAAAAACTCCATTTCTGTCCTTTTTCTAAATCCTTTTTACATATAATTGGACTCAGTTTGCTAATATTTTGTTAAGGATTTCTGCATCTATATTTATGAGGGATATTGTAATTTTTTCTGTTTTTAAAACATTGTGGTAAAAAACACATAACATGAAATTTACCATTTTAACCTTTTTTTTTTTTTTTTTGTGGTACGCGGGCCTCTCACTGTTGTTGCCTCTCCTGTTGCAGAGCACAGGCTCCGGACGTGCAGGCTCAGCGGCCATGGCTCACAGGCCCAGCCGCTCCATGGCATGTGGGCTCTTCCCGGACTGGGGCACGAACCCGTGTCCCCTGCTTTGGCAGGCAGACTCTCAACCACTGCGCCACCAGGGAAGCCCCATTTTAACCATTTTTAAGCGTACAGTTCAATAGTGAAACACATCTCCAGAACTTACAACATGGAAATCTCTGTACCCATAAAACAACTCTCCTTTTACGCCTTCCTTCAGCCCGTAGCAACCACCATTCTACTTTCTGTTTCTATTAATTTGACTATTTTAAATACCTCATATAAGTGCAGTCATACAATTTATGTCTTTCTGTGACTGGCTGTGTTACTTAGGATAATGTCCTCAAGGTTCATCTGTTTTAGCATGTGTCAGAATTTCCTTCCTTTCTAAGGCTGAGTAATATTCCATTGTATGTATATATCACGTTTTCTCTATCCCTTCATCCATCAGTGGATATTTGGGTTGCTTCCATCTCCTGGCTATTGTGAATACTGCTGTAACGACCATGGATGTGCAGATACCTCTTGAGGACTCTGTTATCATTATTTTGGATATATATCCAGCAGTCGGGTTGCTGGATCTTATGGTGTTTTTTTGAGGAACTTCCATACTGTTTTCTATGATGGCTGCACTATTTTGCAGCTCAGCTAACAGTGCGCAAGGGTTCTGATTTCTCCACATCCTTGCCAACATGTGTTATTTTCTGTTTTTTGTTTTTTTTTTTTTTGCGGCACGCAGGCCTCTCACTGATGGCCTCTCCCGTTGCGGAGCACAGGCTCCAGATGCGCAGTCTCAGCGGCCATGGCTCACGGGCCTAGCTGCTCCGCAGCATGTGGGATCTTCCCGGACCGGGGCACGAACCTGCGTCCCCTGCATCAGCAGGCAGACTCTCAACCACTGCGCCACCAGGGAAGCCCATATTTTCTGTTTTTTTGATAGTAGCCATCCTAATGGGTGTGATTTGAATTTTTCTGATGATTAGTGATGTTGAACATCTTTTCATGTGCTTATTGCCCATTTGTGTATCATCTTTGGAGAAATGTCTACTCAGGTTCTTTGCCCATTTTTTAATTGGGCTATTTGATTTATTTGTTGTCAAGCTGTAGGAGTTCTTTATATATTCTGGCTATTAACTCCTTATCAGAGATATGATTGCAAAGTTTTTTCCCATTCCATAGCTTGCCTTTTAAGTTTGATATAGCTCCATTTGTATATTTTTGCTTTTTTTGTTGCCTGTACTTTGGTGTCACATCCAAGAAATCACTGCCAAATTCAATGTCATGAAGTTTTTCCCGTGTTTCCTTCTTTGAGTTTTATAGTTTTGGGTCTTATATTTAGGTATTTAATCTATCTTGAATTTATTTTTGTATATGATGTAAGATACAGGTCTAACTTCATTCTTTTGCATGTGGATATTCAGTTTTTCCAACATCATTTGTTGAAGAGACTCCTTTCCCCATTGTGTAGTCTTGGCACACTTGCTGAAGATCATTTGGCCATACATGAGGATTCATCTCTGGGCTTTCTGTATTATTACATTGACCTATGCACCTGTCTTTATGGCAGTATCATACTGTTTTGATTATTGAAGCTTTGTAATATGTTTGGAAATCAGGAGATCCTCCTATTTTTTTTTTTCAAAATTATTTTTGCTATTTGAGGTCCCTTGAGATTCTTTATAAATTTTAAGGTGAATTTTTTTATTTATGCAAAAAATGTCATTGGAATTTTGATAGAGATTACACTGAATCTGTACATCACTTTGGTAGTATGCATATCTTAACAATATTAAGTCTTCCAGTTCATGAACATGGGAAGTCTTTCCATCTATTTGTGCCTTCTTTAATTTCTTTCAGCAGTGTTTCATAGTTTTCAGTGTACACGTCTTTCACCTTGGTTAGGTTTATTCCTAAGTATTTTATTCTTTCTGATGCTATTGTAAATGGAATTGTTGTTTCAACTTTTTGATTGTTCATTATTAGTGTGTAGAGACACAACTGTTATTTATGTGGATTTTGTATCCTGAAACTTTGCTGAATTTGTTTATTAATTCTGACAGTTTTTTTTGTTGAGTCTTTAGGGTTTTCTACATAGAAGATCAAGTAATCTGCAACCAGAGATAATTTTACTTCTTCCTTTCCAATTTGGATTCCTTTTATTTCTTTTCCTTGCTTAATTGCTCTGGCTAGGACTTCCAATATGTTAAGAAGTAGTCAGAGTGGGCATCCTTGCCTTATTCCTGATCTTCCAGGAAAAGCTTTCAGTCTTCACCATTGAGTATGATGTTAACTGTAGGCTTTTCATATATGGCCTTTATTATGTTGAGATTGTTTCCTTCTATTCCTAATTTGTTGAATGTTTTTATCATGAAAAAATTATTGAATCTTGTCAGACTTTTTTTTTTTGCATCAGTTTAGATGAACAGGTGGTTTTGTTCATGGATCACATTGATTGATTTGTGTATGTCGAATCATCTTTGCATTTCAAGAATAAACCTCTCTTGGTCATGGTGTATAATACTTTTAATGTGCTGTTAAATTTGGTGAGCCGGTATTTCATTGAGGATTTTTGCATCAATATGCATCAGGGATATTGGTCTATAGTTTTCTTGTAGTGTCTTTTTTTCCCACCCTCCTCTTATAGTGTTTTTGCCTGGCTTTGGTATCAGAATAATGCTGGCCTCTTAGAATGAACTTGGAAGTGTTCCCTCCTTTTCAGTTTTTTGGAAGGGTTTGACGGTTGGTGTTAATTCTTTAAATGTTTGGTAGAATTTTCCAGTGAAGCCATTTAGTCCTGGGCTTTTTTTTTGTTGTTGTTGTTGTTAGGTTTTTGTTTACTAATACACTCTTCTACTAGTTACTGGTCTATTTCTGTTTCTTCATGATTCAGTCTTGGTAGGTTGTGTGTTTTAGGAATGTATCCATTTCTTCTAGGCTATCTGATTTGTTGGTGTACAGTTGTTCATAGTATTCTCATAATTTTTTTTTTTTTTTCCGGTACGTGGGCCTCTCACTGTTGTGGCCTCTCCTGTTGCGGGGCACAGGCTCCAGACGTGCAGGCTCAGCAGCCATGGCTCACGGGCCCAGCCGCTCTGCGGCATGTGGGATCTTCTTGGACCGGGGTGTGAACCCATGTCCCCTGCATCAGCAGGCGGACTCTCAACCACTGCGCCACCAGGGAAGCCCTGCCCTAAGCTTTATTTCCTATCTTCTCCTAGCTTGTGTCAGCTAGAAACTTCCCTGTTAGTACTGCTTTTGCTGCATATGTAAGTTTTGGTGTGCTGTGTTTTCAACATTTTCATTTGTCTCAAGATATTTTCTAATTTCCCTTGTGATTTATTTGACCCATTGGTTGTCTTAAGAAAGTACTAATTTCCACGTTTGTGAATTTTTCATTTTTCCTTCTGCCATTGATTTCCAGTTTCATTCCATTGTGATCAGCAGAGATTTTTTTTGTATAATTTCTGTCATCTTCAATTTAAGACTTGTTTTGTAGCCTAACATGTGGTCTCTCCTGGAGAATGTTCCATTTGTACTGAGGAGAATGTATATTCTGCTGTTGTTGGGTGGAATATTCTCTATATGTCTTAGGTCCATATGGTCTGTAGTGTTCAAATCTTCTGTTTCCTTATTGACCTTCTGTTTGGTTCTATCCATTACTGAAAGTAGGGTACTGAAGTCTTCTGCTATTACTGTCTTGCTGTGTATTCCTCCTTTCAAATCTGTCAAAGTTTGCTTTACATATTTAGGAGCTCTGATGTTTGGTATATAAGTATTTGTAATTGTTATAGCTTCACAGTTAACTGACCCTTTTATTATTATAGAATGTCCTCTTTTGTCTCTTGTAACAGTTTTTGACTTAAAGTCTATTTTTTCTTATATTAGTATAGCCTCCCCTGCTCCCTTTTGGTTACCATTTACATGGAGTATCTCTTTCTATCCTTTCACCTTCAGCCTGTGTTATGTCTTTAGATCTGAAGTGAGTCTAATGTAGGAAGTATGTAGTTGTATCTTGTTTTTTGAATCCATCCAGCCAATCTATGGCTTTGGTTGGGGAGTTTGATCCATTTACATTTATTATTGATAGGGAAGGGTTTAGTATTATTTTGTTAATCATTTTCTGTATGTCCTGTAGCTTAGCTTTTTTTTTGGTCCCTTCTTTCCTCTCTCACTGCTGTCCTTTGTGTTGTGTTGATTCTTTTGGTAGTAACATGATTTGATTCCCTTCTTGTTTACTTTTGTGTATATCCTATAGATATTTTCTTTGTGGTTACCATTGCAATTATATGAAACATTTTAAAGTTATAACATTCTATTTTAAACTGATAACTTGAATTGCATACAAAAACTCTAGTCCTTTACAACACCACTTTATGTTATTGATGTTACAGATTACATCTTCATATTATTGTATGTCTATTAACATAGATTGTTATAAAAGTTTTAATGGTTTTTACATTTAATATCTGTATTCATTATACAATTTTAATGTTTTTCTTCATTTAAATTCCATGTACCAAAATTATGATGATACAGGTTACTGTTTTTGTCCGTGTATTTACCTTTACTGGAGAACTTTTTATTTTCATGTTGCTGCCCGGCATCCTTTTGTTTCAGTTTGAAGGATTCCCTTTAGCATTTGTTGTAGAGCAAGTCTAGTGGTAATGAACTCGCTCTGCTTTTGTTTATTTGAAGAAAATCTTAGTTTCTCCATTTTTGAAGGATACTTTTGCTGGATACACTATTCTTGGCTAAGTTTTTTCTTTCAGGACTTTGAATATATCATCCCACTCCATTTTGGCCTGTAAGAGTTCTGCTGAGAAATCTGATAATCTTAGGCAGGCACTCCAGTATGTGATGATTTGCTCTTCTCTTGCTGTCTTCAAGATTTCTCTGCCTTTGACTTTTTTTTTTTAACTGAGATATAATTGACGTACAACATTACAGGCATACCTTGTTTTATAGTGCTTCATTTTATTGCACTTCACAGATAATTCCATTTTTTACAAATTGAAGGTTTGTGGTAGCTGCATTGTCAGGTGATGGTTGGCATTTTTTAGCAATAAATTATTTTTTGATTAAGGTACGTACATTGCTTTTTTTTGACATAATGCTGTTGCGCACTTAACATACTACAGTATAGTGTAAACACAACTGTTATACGCACTAAGAAACCAAAAAAATTGTGCGACTTGCTTTATTTCTATATTTGCTTTATTGTGGAGGTCTGGAACCAAACCTGCAGTATCTTTGAGGTACGCCTGTATATTAGTTTCAGTTGTACAACATAATGATTCAGTATTTTTATATATTGCAAGATGATCACCACAATAAGTGTAGTTAACATCCATCACCACACGTAGATGCAGTTTTTTTTTGATGAGAACTGTTAAGATCTATTCTTTTAGCAACATTCAAATATACAATACAGTGTTACTGACTATAGTCACCATGCTGTATATTACATCCCCAGAGCTTATTTATTTTATAACAGGACGTTTGTACCTTTTGACTCCCTTCACCCATTTTGTCCACCCCCGACCCCTGGCAACCCCTGTTCTCTTCATCTATGAGCTCAGTTTTTGTCTGTTTGTTTAGATTCCACATATAAGTGAGATCATGTGGTATTTATTTTTCTCTCTGAATTATTTCACTTAGCACACTGTCCTCAGGATCCATCCATGTTATTGCAAGTGGCAAAATTTTCTTCTCTATGCCTGAATAATGTTCCGTTGTAGATATATATACTACATTCTTTATCGGTGGGCATTTAGGTTGCTTCCATGTCTTGGCTATTATAAATAATGCTGCAGTGAAAATGGGGGAGCATATCTTTCTGGGTTACTGTTTTTCTTTTTTTTTGGATAAATACCCAGAAGTGAAATTGCTGCATCATATGACAGTTCTATTTTCTAATTTATTATTATAATTATTATTTCTAGTTTCTAATTTATTCAGGAAACTGTTTTCCATAGTTTTTCCCGTAGTGGCTATGCCAGTTTACAGTCCCACCAGCAGTGCACAAGGGTTCCCTTTTCTCCACATTCTCACCAGCACTTGTTGTCTCTTGTCTTTTTGATAATAGCCATTCTGACAGATGTGAGGTGCTATCTTATTGTGGTTTTGATTTTCATTTCCCTGATGGTGAGTGATGTTGAGTATCTTTTTATGTACCTGTTGGGCATCTGTAGGTCTTCTTTGAAAGCATATCTATGCAGATCTTCTGCCCATTTTTTCATTGGATTGTTTTGTTTTGTTTTGGTTTTGCTTTTGAGTTGTGTGAGTTCTTTATACGTTTTGAATGTTAATGCTTTAGCAGTTACATCATTTGTAAACTTTTTCTCCCATTTAGTAGGTTGCCTTTTCACTTTGTTAATTGTTTCCTTTGCTGTCAGAAGCTTTTTAGTTTGATATAGTCCCACTTGTTTATTTTTGCTTTTGTTGCTTTCGCTCTTTGGTGTCAAATACAAAAAAATTACCATCAAGACCAACGTCAAGGAGCTTATTGCCCATATTTTCTTCCAGGAGTTTTACGGTTTCAGGTCTTTAATCCAGTGTTAATTTTTGTGTATGGTGTAAGTGATCCAGTTTAATTCTTTTGCATGTGACTGTCCAGTTCTTTTGTTTTTGTTTTAATAAATTTATTTATTTTTGGCTGTGTTGGGTCTTCGTTGCTGCGCACGGGCTGTCTCTAGTTGCAGCGAGCGGGAGCTACTCTTTGTTGCGCTGTGTGGGCTTCTCATTGCAGTGGCTTCTCTTGTTGCAGAGCATGGGCTCTAGGCTCATGGGCTTCAGTAGTCATGGCATGCGGGCTCAGTAGTTGTGGCTCACAGGCTCTAGAGTGCAGGCTCAGTAGTTGTGGCGCACGGGCTTAGTTGTTCTGCAGCATGTGGGATCTTCCCGGACCAGGGCTCGAAGCCGTGCCCCTGCATTGGCAGGTGGATTCTCAACCACTGCGCCACCAGGGAAGCCCTGTTTAACTTATTTACTTCTCAATGTCAGTACAAAATCTCACAGTATAATTTTCATTTTCATGTTATCTTTATCCAAAATGTAGTCATCTCAATCACTCCTTTATTCTATCAGCATCATATTATTGAGAGAGAAGTTCTCCCAAGTGAAAAATCTCTGGGTTTCTGTAGTGTGATGATGTGTGATCATTTCCATTAAAAAAAAAGTAGACAGCATCAGATCTGGTTGCCAAGAAAAGATTCAAATTAGATTTTACAGAGCATTTGCCCTCAATAAAAACTGAAGTATGATTCCTTATCAAAACTTCATTAATACATAATGGCATAGGTGGAAAATGAAATTGTTTTATTCCTCATATAATTAAAATGACTTGAACTTATGGATCCCTTGTCCCAGCTTCTTAGGACCTAGAAGGAATGATGGATAGAGGATCGTGAAATGCCATTTTTCAGGTATCTAGATCCTTGAGGAAGGGGAAGAGCAGTTGGAAGAAGTTTTCTCCCCTTTTTTCCCTCATTAGCTGCCTCTTGAAGTGGATTTAACTAAAGCAAAGAGACAAGACTTTGAACCATGTGTGGAACAAGCCAGATACAGCAGCTGCCGACGGAACCCGACTCTGGGACCCCCCAGACCACAGGAGGTGACGTCTCCTCGCAGACCAAGCCACCACGTTGTGATGCAGGGGATGCGGACAGCGGCTCCGGGTGCGGGCTGCGTGCCCTCCCCGCCCCTGCTCCTTCCCAGGTGTCTCCCCCTGCCTCCCACCCCTGCCTTCACTTCAGAGCCAGCACACTGGCTGGCCCGTGTGCTCCCTTGGGAACTGTGTGTTGCTGCTCACCAGTTAACTCAGGAACTCACCTCCCTGTTGCTCTCCTGATGCAGAAGCCCGACCTCCGCTGCCACAGAGAGCGATGCCACGTACCAGCGGAAGCTCCGGCAAAGACAGCTGCAGCAGCGGTTCCGGGAGCAGATGGAGAAACAGCAGCAGGAACCCCCGTCTGGCCCACCTGCCGAGAAGCAGGGTCCTGGTGAGAGGACGGAGCGTGGGCTCTGGGGGTGACTGCTCTCCCCACTGTGCAGCAGGTCGGGTCCACACACAGCACAGAGGCGGCCACGGGCTCAAACCGTCACGTCCTGCCTCGCCATTCCCCGTGACTGAAGGAAGACACTGGTCTTTTGGGCGAAGGAGACGGGCCCTGACATAACCTGGAACTATTTGTCTCAGGGGACAGAGCTTCTTTTCGCCTCAGTTACTTTGGCCACGTGTACACGAGAAAGCCTTTCTGAGCTTTTATTTTTTTTAATTATTTACTTATTTTTTTAACTTTTGGCTGTGTTGGGTCTTTGTTGCTGTGCACGGGGGCTTTCTCTAGTTGTGGTGAGTGGGGGCTACTCTTCGTTGCGGTGTGCGGGCTCATTGCAGTGGCTTCTCTTGTTGCAGAGCACGGGCTTCAGTCGTTGTGGCACGTGGGCTGTAGTTGTGGCATGTGGGCTCAGTAGTTATGGCTTGCGGGCTCTAGAGCGCATGCTCAGTAGTTGTGGTGCACAGGCATTGTTGCTCTGTGGCACGTGGGATCTTCCTGGACCGGACTTGAACCTATGTCCCTTCCACTGGCAGGTGGATTCTTAACCACTGCGCCACCAGGGAAGCCCCTGAGCTGTCTCTGAACATAAAGCAAAGTTGGGTTTGAAGAGAATGGGTTTTTGGCAATTCTTTATCCCTGAACTTTTTATTTCAGAGTCCAGCTTCAGTGGGAGTAGTAGATACAGATTTTCTTGGAGTCTTTCTCAGAGACTAGAAACAAAGAAAGACCAAGTGGATTTTTGCCCAGCTTCTCCCTAAAAATTACAAAGAAGGTTCCGAGGACTTGCTTCATGTTTAGTTCTTTATAATTCCCCTCAGCAGTACTGGCAGGCTGAGGTTAATGTAGGGGGAAAAAAACCCAAAAAACTTACTGTGCTGGGGATGTTCTTAATAAGAATTATTATTCTAGGTCTTCAGCTTCCAAACCATTGCGGAAGCTCTGGGGGTCAGGGGTGGAGGAGGAGTCATCTCCAGGACCTCCCCCACCCCAAATCACACAGTCATCATCTTGGTTTTACATATTCATTTCTGCTTAAGATTTTGTTTGAACAAGGGTTATAGCTTCAAATAGTAAAAACTGGACAAAACGGCTTACAATAACTCTTCCGTTTCTGCTAAAGGAGAAACAAACTTCTCAGCGTTTTTTTCGCAGTTTGATGAGAAGAAAGAATATAGTATCGTCAGTCCTATTTTATATAGATCTGTAGGTAGGACCAGGATGCAAGGTCCCGAGTTCTGCCCGCCGCGCCGACGAGTGTAACCCCAGGCAGCTTTGCACGCACTTCCAAGGCTGCCCGCAGCCCAGCTTGGTTACGTGGTTTTGTCCTTTCTCTGCAGCAGCGCTGCCACCGGTGCCACCTGCCGGAACTGCTGCTTCAGAGCCGCTCACCCAGACAGACGTGCTTCCAGGTCAGGAGGGCTAAAGGAATGGCTTCAGTCCTAATCAGTAAATACCTATCAAGTGTCTGTAAGTTACTGTGCTGCATACTTTCCGTCCTCACAAATATATTTCAAAAGAGGCATAAGGTATCTTCATTTTCCATTGGTTTTGTAGAAAGTGCTGATAGCACATATGCAGCTCCTCTACTGTCCGGACCTGCGAGAGGCTTTGGTGTACTTTCATGGGTCGGGGAAAGAGAAATTCCAAACGCCATCGTATAGAGCATTCATGATACAGCATTTCTCACGACCTGTTACTTTTCCAGCACCTCGTTTGTTGATGCTGCATTTGCTTGTGACCTCTGTCCTTGCAGACAGTCTTGAAATGTGGGACATGGCTCTAGATGCAGGGGACAGTGTGGTCAAGCCCTTGTCTAAACCAGAACCGCCACAGGCCCCTGCCACCTCCGTCCTGCAGAACGAGATGGAGACCTGGAACAGGACCCCACAGAGCCTTTGCCACCAGAATCCACAGGCAAAATCTGGACCCTGGCACCTTCAAACTTACAACCTTAACCAACACATAACAGGTAGCAAAGTGTTTTAGGAGCAGAAATGGAAGGGAGAACCTGGGTATATATAATTCTATGAATCTTAAAGAAAGAATGACATTCCATTTTAAGAAGTTGGAGGGGACTCATGCCAGACCAGTAGCAGTCTAAGAAAATGGAGTGTAACTGGATTAAGAGTCGCAAGTCTTCCTTGGAGTCCTGACCTGAGGTGCAGCTCTTTCTAGCTGATAGAAGTGGGACACTGAAGCACGGCTGCATTCCTTAGAAGCAGGCCTGTCGTGATCTCTCCTGCAGCTTGGTCTAGTGTTAACAGAGCGACCTGTCCCCCTCATAACAATTTTCACTCTTGGCCTTTAGTTTAAAGTAGGACAGTAACTAATACGATTCAGAAGTTTTTAGCTGTCAGTTTATTCCTTATTTTTACATCATGGCAGCTGTATGTGAACAATTTTCTCTTCCATAGGAGACTATGATTCATATAGGAAGAACCAGGACACGAAGAAAAGGAAATTGGATTCATCTTGACCAAGGCTCCGTTCACCTCACTGGATTCTGTCACAAAGGGACTTTCAGAAACTGCTTGTTGGTCATGAAATGACTCATCATTCCTAGGGAATGAGCTTTACCTCCGGGGATTTACCTTGCTTCATGCTCAACTTCACCAGAGGATTTCACTATTGGAACCTGACGCAGATCAAGCTGGGCAGGTTGGGAAGCCCTGCGGAGATTAAACAAACACACACCTTTTCTTTGGCTCTTCACTATTTATTCCTAAGCTTTCATGTTAATAAAGGCAGAAATTCTAGGAATCTCAGTGGCCACTTTCCCCACGCACCAACCTCGACAGCGGCCTGCGGTATGTCACTGTGTGACCTCTGACCCCTTTCGCTGCCACTCATCTACAACCATCTGTCACTTATAGGCGCATCATGAAACTACCTCCATTTTTTCCTAATAAGGAAATAATCTAAGACCAAAGAAAAGGCATTTTAAGAAAGCGAAATAAAATCCTACTTTGTAACAAAATAACAGGCATACCTCTTTTTATTGCACTTTGCAGATTTTTTTTTAAACAAACAAATTGAAGTTTTTTGGCAATCCTGTGTTGAGCGTTTTCCCAACAGCATTTTAAAGTATATATTGTTTTAGGGACTTACTTCCCTGGTGGTCCAGTGGCTAAGCCTCCACACTCCCAAGGCAGGGGTCCCGGGTTCGATCCCTGGTCAGGGAGCTAGATCCCACACGCCACCACTAAGACCTGGTGCAGCCAAGTAAATAAATATTTTTTTAAAATATATTCTTAAAAAAAAGGTATATATTGTTTTAGATATAATGCTATTGCAGACGTAACAGGCTATAGTGTAAACAACGTTTATATGTACTGGAAAACCACAAAAATCTGCGTGACATAAGCAGCTGTTTAGCTATTTCGGATGTGCGATTATCACCCACCTTAACAAATTCTTTTAGTGTTTAGATGTTCATAATCCTTTCCCCCAACTAATGAGTGTGCAGTTTTACTTTTTAAGGGCATTTTGGGTTGGGCCTTGTACCCAGTCTTGAGTTTGTTGGAGCACAGGCCCATCCGGGAAGCTGTGCCCCTAGGCCACCGCCGCGCCTCTGGAAGAGGAGCACGGGGCTTTCCCTGACCTCCCGCCACCTCACCTGAGCTGCACAGCTTTGGGCGTAGGTTCATCTTCTGATTTTCATATCCTTACCATGGTCTTCAGAAAATATATCTTGCCTGTCTGCAGCATCTTAGTTCAGGTCAGAACTGCTGTTAAAAAAAAAGGTCCTGGAGATAGGAATCCAGTTATAAATTGCACACAAGTCAAATCAGAGCTAATGAGATCACGAAAAAGACATGCGCTGAAAATGAAACCCCACAGCTCAAGAAAAGCAAGTTTGGTTTATTTGAATGGTTTCATCTACAAAGGTAACAAACGGAAACAGAAAGCGTGTCCCCCGGGGTTTATCCCAAACGCACGGGTTGACGGGCTGCCGAGAACCCCCAAGGTTTGAATTTAGTCTGTTTTTTTAAACAGTGTACATTGTTAAATAATGTAAGGAAAACACTTATAATTCAGAAAGAATTTTTTTAATGTGGAAAAAGATACTCAAAGTGTACTATTAACACAAAAATAATTTAAACAGTTCAGTAGCACTAGGTTCATTCCTCTAGGCTTCAGTTATTTCATCCACAGGAGGGGAAAAAAACAGTAAATAAAAGCAGTTCTTACTTTCCACCTGTGAGTGAAGAGATCTCAAAATGATTAAACCCAAGAAACAAAATAGTCACGTGCTGCACTCTGGCTCCTCCTTCCTCTGCTGCAAAGCCCTGCCTCCTTGCCCGGGGTCCGTTCCCCACTTCCTTGGCGCTTCTTGTTCCGTCCTTACTCTTGTCATCTCCCGAGGATCATAAGCAGAGAAAAAGTAAGTTAACAGTTTCGAAGCAAAGCTTGGAACGCCTGCCCTTTTCATTTCTACCTTCCTACAACCTTCAGCTCTCATTTGCATCTTTGGGGTCTCGGCTAACTTAAAGAAAATGACCACCGGAGGACAGGACAGCCATCCAGGCTCTTCCTGTCATGGGGATTCCTGGGATGTGCCACTGAGGTGGGTAAGAGGTTGGAATAGGTCAGTTTCCCAGCTCAAGAGTCAAGACAAGAAGCACCCCAAAATTAAGAGTCCTGGCTGCTTTCCCCACCTTCTGGGAGAACAGAGATCCCAAACTCAGGCAATGAGGAGAGTATTTCCTGAAAGTTCTGAAAGTAACAGAAGTGCCCATTACAACTAGGCACAGCACTAAATAATACTGGTTGGTTGCAGTTATTACTTCAGGGGAATATCTGTTTACAGAGAACGTGAGAATATCAGCTGTTAATTCTAGAAATAAGGTGGTGCAAGAGATTATGATCCTCTGCAACCATTTGGACATTATATAGGAAGCGGGTAGGAATAAGCATTCTTTCCTACAATGCTTAATTCAGATGTGGGTCCACTTTCCACAAACTACAGTACCCCAAGCTGAGAAATACACGGGACATTTGCACCAAGAGGGGAAGCAATCCAAATGATTTTTCTTAGAACAACTTTCTCCATCTGTGACATTTCACTATCACATTTCCTAGCTTAAAAACTAGCGCCCCCCCCCAACCCCACCCCGTGCCCTTCCCTTTATATTCAGCCATTTCTTCCAGGTCTCCTCTGCTCAAGCCCAGCTCAGGTAAGTAAGGCTTATGGCAGCCACTGGCCAAGCATCACCTATCTTCAAAACAAGTCTGTTCTCCCATCCCGTAGTCCTTCTTTTTCTTTCATCACTTATCGCATACCACGCTCAATCTTGTAAATTGCCCGATTTTGTGACAACACCCCTCCTCACCTGTCCTGAAACAGAGTTTTCTGCTTTTAACCACTACTGTCAACTTCTCACCTGCTCATCTTACACCTGCTCTAGACAAAATTGTTGAATGACTTGAAAAAAAATACTCCTTCAATTTCCTTACTGCATAATCCACTGCTGGGTCACATGGACCCAAGGTCTCCTTCCATACGCCCTTTTGCTGACTGGGGTCTGATGAGAAGTTGATGTTAACGGCAGAAGCAATAGAAGTCCAAGGCACTAAAACATCCAGCAAGCAATACTGGGAGAACAGAAGTATTCAAGTACAGTAATTTATACAATTTTACATTCACATTTATTTATCTAATACAATGGAAATACAAAGGAGAAAGTAAAGTCTCAATAGGTAAAGGACAGAACTAGCTTTTTTCAACTTTTTAAACCTTTCATATCTTACTTTTAAAACTACTGTTGTCCAACAACATTTATATATCACAGTGTTTCCACATCAAAACTGATGGCAAAGTTACATGTCCGCAGGGAACTTACTTTTGTTTTCCTAATGGCTAATGCTGCAGTCAAAGCTGCGAATACCATCTGCTTAAAGCACTAATGACCTATCGTAAGAGAGGGTTGGAACCTCCGTCCCCTGCTGTTTTCACTGGGTTCTAAAGACTGGCTGGGGTGGGGACAGGGTAGGAGAGAGCCCAATAGTTTAGTTTTTTGTCTTGCGGTTTATGTTCTTGAGGGGATAAGGGACTTGCGGTGGGTACCAAGATTAAGAGCCCCACTACTTGAGAACACAGATGGGCTTTGCTTTTCCACTGAGCTCTCTAGAAGCTTTCTGATCAACACGATTCTCTTTCCGAGCGCTCACTGCTGGGGAGAGATAACAAAGCATACACAAGAAACCTGCTCTTTCTTTCCTTCTCATCCCACTCCAATAAACAGTGAAAGCACAGGGAGATTCTCCACTCTGAGGGCTCTAAGCGGTATTAAACACATTCCTGTCTGGCAAGAAATAACCAGTTAAATGCAGCGCTAGTAGTTATTAGGTAGGCTCCTTTCCCATCCCCCTTCCACCTGCCCCTCACCACTCCACCTCCTGCCCCCAATCTACTCCGTCAACGCCTCTAGGTCTAAGTGGTCCTCAGGTTGGAACCTGGAGGGTTGCTGATGGACTTCTGCAAGTTGCTGATGTTGAAGTTCTGTAAGGAGGCAGTTCCCACAGGTTGGAACTGGCTAAGTGGCTGTGTTGCTGGGCCGCCCGTGCCGCTCCACTGCGTGCCAAAGGGGGGGGTTGGGAAACCGTACTGCTGCGGGGGGCACATGGGCTTGGGGAAGTGGCCTAGAGAGGTAGCTGATGCTGCAGAGATGGGGGCAGAGCCACCCAGGGTTGAGGTCATGGAGACGCACAGCTGACCAGGTGCAGAGAACTTCCTCGCCATGCCAGGGCCCTGAGGAGAGAACAACGCCGTGTGAAGCTGGTGTGGGTGTGAAATGGGTGGAACTGAGACAGAATTCCAGAAGCGGGCTGCTCTCATCTTGCAGGGGACACTGAGAACAACACCCAGACAACCTTCCATCATAATTATTGGCTCTTTATATTTATCAAATACTTGTTCTGACTGGAGGTGGGTGGTGTCGTGTGTGTGTGTAGTTCAGAGTGTGAAAGGAAAAGGGAAGAAAAAACTGAGCTGACCGATACAGAGCTCGGGATTCAGGGCAGGAAAACTAAAAGGGAACCTGGGTGATTTTTGTCTTGTTTTCTTAAAAGTGTTAAAACTCATGAGCTACTGAAGAAGGTCCCTCATATGAGCGAGACACGTGCTCACTGATACTCTGATGGATTCGGAAAATGGCAAAAGGGGCAGACTGACCTCGTAACTCATGTGTCCTTTGCTTCCTCTCCTGCCTGAGAGATTCATGGCGTCTCGGGCCCAGTTGTCCACCAACTTGTGCAGGTCATCTGTGAACGTGCCCTTCCTGCTGGACGTCATGGCAGGAGGCTGAGCCTGGGCGGCCTGACTGTTCACTGTTCCCCCAACGGTGTTTGTGCTGCTGGTCCCTAAAGTCAGAAGAAGAAACAGAAGAAACAGAGTACAACCATTAAAAGAGGCTTGGGTTGTAATTTCAGGGAGAGGAAAAACTTCCGAGGATGATGAATGGCAAACCATGGAATGGGGAGGGTGAACTGGGAAGCCATGCAAGAAAAGGAAGGTTCCAAGGTTCTTATGTAGCCAAATGCTCTGGCATCACAGGGTAATAGAAACAGGTTCTCTTCAGGAGCTCCAGACGAGGCTGAGCAACTCCGGATGAGGAAAGGCACAGAGGGTGGGGACCTCCTCCTGCCCATTCTCATGGCATCCTGGAGCGCAGACACTCGCTGCTGGGCCTCTATGCCCAGCATCACCTGGGGGAGAGGAGAGCTGTGCGGTGTGGCCAGTGAGGCTGGCTGCTCTAGAATGCTGCAGAACAGGGCAAGAGAAGGGGATCCCTGGAGCACTCGGCAGGGTTCATGGAGGAGTTAAAGGAACGCAAAGACAAGCCCCAGGAAAGATGGGCTCCCAAACCATGTGGGACCATCATGGTCTTCAGCCATTCTTTCACAGAAAGGGGCGACAAGAGAAAGCGTGCTCTGGTCGGAAACCTTTTTCACCTGGACCCATAAACATGAACTGCA